AATAATAAAAAGTTTTTAATAATAAAATCTTTTTAATAAAAAGATAATTCAGTTTTAAATGTCAAATAGCAGGCAGTCTTATTTCTTATACATAACTATTCATTGCATTAGTAAACTTGAATATTTTTCAGAATAGGCAAGGAAATTACTCTCTTCAATATGCATTTCATCTATTTTGTCGTCATCTTCTTCGTTCAACTGGACAACATTCAAACTACAGTAAGTTCATTTAAAGTTAAGAATCAAGACAACATTACAGTATTTCGAAGATATTAAGTTTTTAAGATAATGTGAGATTGATAATTTCATATAATTTGAGAAGGTGCAAACGGAAAAAACAGAGTCGTTTGATTTATCAGTGAACGGAGAACAAATGGGAAATTTGTGGTTATTAGCAGAAGTAGCCGCTAAAATGCCGAAAGCCGAAGTAGCAATTGGAAGACAGACAGGGTTAAACTCAACAAACCAAGAAGAGAGTATTGAACAAAAAGATGTGAGTAAAAGTAAGAAATGGCAATCTAATGAATGTGGAAAGAATATAACAAAAATGGAAGAACATATGAGGACTCATACCGGTGAGAACCCTTATAGTTGCCCCACATGTGGGAAAAGTTTCTCTCGATCATACAATATGAAAAGGCATACGAAGAGTCATACCGGTGAGAAGCCTTACAGTTGCCACACATGCGGAAAAAACTTCCCTGGTTTATCAGAGATGAAAAGGCATGCGAAGATTCATAGTGATGAGAAGCCTTACAGTTGTCTCATATGTGGGAAAAGTTTCCCTGAATCATGCATAATGAAAAGGCATATGAAGACTCATACCGATGAGAAGAGTTATAGTTGTCCCACATGCAGGAAAAACTTTCTCTCAAACAGACTATATGAAAAAACATATGGGAATTCATACCGACAAGATGTCGTACAGTTGTGAGGTATGCGGGCAGGTTTTCAAACGAAAACCGTATTTGAAAAGTCACATGAAAACTCACGTGAAAAATAGGCCACTCTTCAACTGTACTGTCTGCGGCAAATGCTACCTGAATTACGACCGGTTGAATTTACATAAGAAGAATCATGAAAGAAGCTGAATTACGTGCTATTATTTCTGATGTATGCTAATTATTTATATTTTCCATTAGTTATATTCTTTTCCCTTTGTCTTATTTTATGTTATTACTGTCACCTTGCGTTACTCTTATTATTGTTAGCGCTTGTTCATTAGTTATTTTTTTTTGTTCCTATATACAAGTAGTTTTGTTCTTTCTCC